GGGATCAGTGCAAAGAACGAAAAATATCGAGCTGAGCGGGTCGCCCTGCAGGACACCGGTATAGATGATGAAGCTCGGGGCCCAAACGCCGTCGATCAAGATGGCCGTGACTGCAAAGTCGCACATGGAGTGGAACAGACCGATGACGAAGTCGGGCCAGCCCTGAAACTTCAATATCTTCAGAAGCCAGCTGCGGGCAATGGAAACAGAGGCTGTGCCACTATCCATCGCCAGGCCGGCAGGAAGGAAAGTACCCGGTGGCCGGTGCGACGCCTGCACCACGTGGGCGTCCAGCTCGATAATGTTGTCCGTGAACTGGCGGCGCTTCGCGAAGCCCCGCTGCTCGCTCGAAGCCTGGTTGGTGACGTACGGGTTCATCGTGTGCGCCAGGCCCCCCGCAATCGTTTTTGCGTCGGCATTCCGGCCACTGGGGGGGCGAAGGTTTTCAGGAAACCAAACAACTTCAACCGCATCATGCTCATAGTGGCCTTCGGGCGGGGTGGCGAGCGAAGAGTAGGCCGTGGCACGGCACGGCAGAATACCGCGATATCATACTTCCGCCACTTCGGCAATAGCCTCAATGAGAGAGGAATTCAGAAGAGCAGGGTACGGGATGCCATCGGGGCCCGGAGCGGAGCGGCCGCGGTGCTTCAGGTAGGCGCAATAGACCGAGGTGTTGGGAGGACGTAGCCCACTTACATCCCATCGGCACCCATAATGCTGTAGAAACTGTCGCTGGGCCTCTGGGGAAACCTCCTGAGCCAGGAACTGTTTCGCCCAATAATCGTGGATGAGCTCCTGTTGCTTCCTGGGGTCACGCTCGATGCTGGAGTCGCCATCGCCGTGGGTGTCCTGCAAGCTGGCGAGGTGGACGAATTTGGCAGATGAGGACCACAGATTACGGTAGCGTGCGTTGCGGCTCTTCCGCGAACGGGAAGAGGACAGACGTGACGACGGCATGGCTGACGTAGGACGACCAAGCTCATCAAGTTCCTCGGTGTCCTCCCTCGCGAATTGCTTGTTTTTGGCCGCAGCCGCGGCAACCTCGAACATGATGGCATCTCGAAGGCGGACGCGACCTTGAATTATCTCCATATGGCGTAAAGCATGTGGCTGGTAAAGCGCGAGCTTTTCGTATAAACGGATGTCATTCCTCCAAACACATCGAGATATAGTAGTAAGAAGCATCAGCGTGGTCCAAGACTGGCCCCCTATTTGGACCAACGCGTTGCGAGCCTTGACGGAGGCGACCTTAAGAACGGCCTTAGCCGCAATAAGCTTGTCGACACCACGGACGTGCTCGATATTGGCGCACTGCATCCATTATGTGACAACGCTGTGAAAGACTGAGCTCTTAGCGACATCCCAGGAGATGCGTAGCTGATGCACGGGAACAGGAGCAGGAGAGCGGATCTCGACCTTGAAGGGGGCATGGTCGGAGATGTCCAACCGAGAGCACTCCATCGGACCCAGTGGCACCGGGGGCTCTACCGTACGGTTGAGAAGGTTCGTGGCCGGGGTCGCCAGGAACGTGCGGTCCAGTGTGAAGAATGAATTAGAAGCCTTGTGGTAGTGGGTGAAGTGGGGCGAGCGGGTTTTTTCGATGAGGTGGTTCATGCCTTGCGAGAGGTTGCGCTCAGCCACGGACAAGTTACGAGGGAGATGGGGGCGCGGTTCTTCAGGACGTTCCAGATTGCGGCGATCCAGACCCGGAGGGCCGATGTTCCAGTCCCCAGACAGAAGAGCGGCTCGCTGCTTAGGGCGTGCGCTCATCCATCCCCAATCCGCAGCCATGCGATTGTGGATGCCCCTGGACTGTGTGCTCGTGATGCCAAAATTGTGGATGTTGACGAAGCAGACTTCCGTGTCCTGATGTACGAAGGTGGTGGCAAGAACACGTCCAGGCACAATGTGAGAATGCTGCGGGGTTGCCGCGCCGGCCCAAGATGTGGACCATGCCGTGATCACGCCGCCAGAAATCTCGTTGGCCGTGGGGGGGTACTCATAGTCGGATATATCAGCAAGAGGGCGCATAAGGTCATGTACATATTGATCATCACCGTGGACTTCCTGAAAAAAAGACATCCACCTCTTTGAGAGGTCCTGCCAGGGGAGCAACTTTCTGATGGGCCCGCAGTGCGGAGGAGGCGTTCGCAAGCGTCTGAACGTTCCAAGATACGTGTTGAAAGCGAGCGTGCCAACTACCAGGAGGACGACCTATAGCCAAGAAGGGGCTAAATAGAGTGCGTAGTCCAACCATTCGGTGGGCTCGAAGCGCTGCTCCCGCCCGTGGAAGCAGCCATAGAACGGCACGAGGAAATAGCAGTGTCCATGTGGCCTCTGTTAAGCGGCGTGCGGGACAGCTCCGGGTCGTTGACCCAGATCGTGGCCTTGTTGGTGGTGTCGTCCCAGCGCCCCTGCGCGATCCAAACCGTACCGGAAAATAACGATGAAGACCTCTTAACGTAAAAAAGATGTTAGGCATGTTCGGGAAGACGGGATTGAAGGTTTTTTTAAAGTCGTTTTGGGAGCATCTGAGGTGCACGTACTGCGAGAGGAACATGAGGAGATAGGTAAGCCTTGACAGGGCCGCCGGGGTTTTTGATAGATATACTTTCCCACTTTTCATTGTCATCGCGGCACTGCTTGAGAATATCCTGGGCAGCTTTGGAGGCAGCCACGGGTGTGCCGCCAATGCGGACGGTGAAGTTCTTGTGCACGGCGCTACCCATGGTGGAGATGCGGTGCTCGGCGACCTTGGCCGCTTTGGCCAGCTCGATGACGAGGGCGTGGGCCGCAACGTTCGAGACACAGTCCTCCGTGCTCAGCCGGATGATGGTCGGGTCGCACTCTGTCGGAGGTAGCTGTCGAAGGGCCGAATGTAGCTCAGCACGTGTAGTAGCAGACGGCTGCTCGGCGATGCCCATGGGCTCGGACAGGTCGGCAACCTGCTTCTCGAGGTCCTCGTGCTGCTGTTCGAGGCGGGATACGCTCGAGGAGACCGTGGCGATCTGAGCGGCCTGCGATGCGAACTGCGCCTGGTAGATCTCGTCCTGCTTGGAGAGGGCTCGAGCCATCTGAAGGTCGACTTTGGAGAACTGCTTGGTGACAGCAGCAGTGGCGGCCTCGGTGGCGACGTCGCGGATGGCGTCCACGGCGGACTGTTTGATGTCCTCGGCGAGGGCGTCGCGGACCAAGGAGAGGAATGTCTTGTCCACCTGAGGCTCCTGTTCCTCGCCGCCGGCAGGGGTGGCGAAGCCAGACTTGTCATCACCGTCTTGGAGGCGTTGACGCTTGCTGTCAGTACCTGCCGGGATGGGTCGCTCTCTGCGGTCTCCCATGGCGCTGTCTCCTGGCTCGGAGTGAGCAACACGCGTAAGAGAAAGATGATGAAACCGCCTGAGCGGCAAAGCATGCACCGCGATAGCGACGTGGATGAGTACAGTATCCAGGTGGCGCGGGGCAGGCCTGGAAAGGTGAGAAACCTGGACTCACGATCCTTGAGCGAAACGCCTACGGACCTTGAGCCAAAATGGCTACGGATGGGAGGGGTAGGATGTCAGATGTAGCGCGAGCCGCACCTGGCATGTCCATCCCTCTCTCTCTCTCTCTCTCTCTTCTCCTCATTCCTGCCCTTCCCTCACCACTCGCCGTGTCTTCCTTTTCGCTCTCGAACCGCTCTCCCTCTTCGTCCACTCCCTGCAGCCTCTCTCGCTCTTTCTGGGCCATATCTTCTTCCCTCGTCCAAACTGGAAAGTGGTTGCATCAGCGCGGCTGGACAATCGCTGTCACACCACGCGGCGCGCATCGAGCATGCATTCGAAACTCCCGTTGCCCTAGCTCAAGACGCAGAACCAATGTTGGATGAACGTCTCAGCCAAACACTGGGCAAACTGTTGATAGGTGCGTGTGTGTAAAGCATGGTTGAAACGACTCCGTGCGCCAGACGTCTGGAAGCTGAGCGAAAATCAGCATTGCACCATAACCGTTTGGCGACAGCATCATGGGGCAGTGCATTTGACCGTGCAGTTCCTTGCTAGTAAATCTCTGATGTGCGTATACAACTGTGCGTGCGACAACACGGCCGAGCTTTTGACCCTTTCGAGGACCACTTCAAACTTCGAAGGAAAACCCGCGTAAGCACAACGTCTCGTCACCCTCGGGCGCGGGTTCGAATCATTCCTTCCAGGACCTGTGCTACAGGAGGAGCTCGACCACAAGAAACCTTCCACAAGAAACCCAACCTGGAGACCCCAGGACGTCCATTGCCATTGATGTTTGGTGTGGGAACGTCACGCTTGCCGTAGCAAAGCCATAGAAATCCAAGAAACCCAGGGCACCCTGGAGGCAAGCAGGGTGTTTCTTGGCATGGGTTTCCACTGCGACCGTCTAACGCCATCCTTCCTCCAACCCTCTCTGCATGCTCTGCTCACCTCCAGACGCCTCTGGAGGCCGGATGGCTGCGGGAGGCACGGGAGCAGACTGCCAACTCGACGCTCGGAGGCAGGAGCCTTGCCCACCAGGGGTGGGGAACGACGTGCAGTGGGACGCACAATAACATTCGAACACTACATGTCCTCCTCGTACGCGTGCGTCCGGCCCGAACATATAGTATAACCATCTTGTAGTATATCGTTTTCCGAGCGGTACGGCCAGAAAACGCCCGCCACGGCGGATACACTATCAGATTTCTCGGCGCGCGCGTCGCCCCTGGGGCCTGGGGGGGCGACGCACACATCTCCTTGGAATTCGCCGACCCAACGGGCCAGAGGCGTGCTAAGATCTCCGGTAACTACTTAACAATATTTCTAGTTCGCGCGCGCGGGGCGGCCCCTGGGGGCCCCCGGACGAGAAGTACCCCGGCCGAACCCCAGGGGGGAGGCTATTTTTCGCCACCCCTCACGAGGATCCTGGCCTCCGAGGGGGTGGCTGCAATAGACTACCCCCCCTCCCGCCCCAAGAGGCCCCCAAGAGCCCCCCAAGAGGCCCCAGGGGAGCCCAAGACGCCGCCAAGGAGCCCTAAGACACTCCCAAGAAGCCCCCAAGAGGCCCTCAAGACGGCGCCAAGAGGCCCCAAATTGCGCTCCAGGGCTGGCGGAATGAGCGAAGCGATTAAATAATGCTCGCTGGCAAGTAGGAAGGCTTCCCCCGCCGTGGAGACGCTGTCCTGGCCATAGAGACGCTCCTCGCCACAGAAACGCGTTCCGACTAACGCGCTCCTGGCCGTAGAAGCGCCCTCCTCGCGAGTGGCGTCGCTGCGCGGCCGCCCTCCCCCCACCCAGGCCCCCCAGACATCCAGCTGCTCCAGTTTGCCCGATGCGTGGGCCCCAGAGGTCCGGCCCCCTTCCCTTAGGGTTCGGCCTTCGGCCTGGATTTAAGATGGGCCTGTCCCCCTACGGGGGGATTTTGGATGAAAAATTACAAATGCTCAAAAAACGCCGAAAGGATCAACAAATATTCAAAAAATACTCCCCAGACTATTTGTTTACTACTTTTAAATATTCCTCCTCTAGAGGGACACGCCCGACTTAAGCCTGGATCACTCTTTGACGCTCCCCAGGCCCAGCCAGGGCGCCCCGAGGCCGACAAAAACTGCCAGACAGCTGCCCGCCGCCATGCTCTGGCAGCGTCGGGCGTCTGCGCCCGGCTCCCTCGGGCGCCGCCTGCGTCTGCGGGGTCTGCGCCCTGCTCGCCTCCTCCGCGCTCTGCAGCTCCTTGGTCCGCGCCTCGCTTTGGTGGTCCCCAAACGTGGTGGTGAGAACACCTGGTGGTGAGTTTTGGACGATTTGGGTAATGGTTTTCGAGCGCTGGCTGGCCCAGAAAACGCAAAACCTCGTGGCGACCGCGTGTACCCAAACCCGGTGGCGACCCAGAATTATTTGTTAGGGGGAATCGGGGTCACCACCGGGTGTCTCACCACCTGGTTTGGAGACCACCAATCGCTTCGACGGGGGTGACCGCGCCGGAGCGCGGAGGGCGGAGGCCGACTCTCAGGCCGGGCGGCCGCTCGGCAAGCGGGCGCCATTCCAGGGAGGAGTCAGCACGCAGCCTGCCAACAGGGGCGTTGCTGTAGTCCTCCTCCTCCTCCTCCTCCTCCTCCGCCTCCACCTCCGCCTCCGCCTCCTCCGCCTCCTCCGCCTCCTCCTCCCCCTCCTCCTCTTCCTGCTCCTCCTCCTCCTCCTCCTCCTCCTGCTCCTCCTCCTCCTCCCCTCCCTCCCCCCATCCACCCTCCCATGCCCTCCCGCTCCTCCCGTCTTCCTCCGTCCTTCCACCGTGCAGTTCCGCGAGGTGCCCGGCGAGGCCCGCGTGTCGAGGGAGGAGCGCCCCCAGCTTCGCGCCGGCTGCGCAGGCTTGCAGCTCTGGCCATGGCACCTTGAGAAGTCTCCAGCGAACGCCCCATCTTCATAAGGAATCGTCCTCCATCCGTGCAGCCGTGACACGCGTTCACGCTCTGGTTCTTCGAGGGCCACGTTTTGGAGAGGAATCCGCTCACGACCCTTGCGACTGTTGGGAGCTTCTGGGAAGAATGTGCGCGGCGCTGGGGCGAGAATCTCAGTTTGGAACAGAGCCACCCTCCATGCGTGCGACTGCTGCACCCTTTCAAGACGAATGCGCGCGGCACTGAATCGAGGACCATGTTTGGAAAACCGCACGCCCGATATCCGTGAAACGATCGCGAGCTTTAAGACGAACGTGCGGGGTAATAAGGAGAGAGCTCCATGAGGAACTGGAATCGCCCTCCATCCTGGTAGAAGTGTGAATGTCAAACTTCACGAGCACACATTGTGAAGGAGCATCAAGCCTCAAGCGAAACGCCCGGGCCGCCCTACCAACTCGTCTGGTGACAGGACGAGAGTGAGCGATGTACCAATAAAGAACTTGGTGAAGGATGGAGGAGGAATGACACGAAATGTGAGCAAGCCACGATGTGGGAGGGGGAGGGAGGGACGAGGCAGAAGGGGAAGGAGGGAGGGAGGGAGAGAGGGGGATAATGATACGGCTGATGTTGATGGTGATAGTGATGGTGATGGTGATGCGAACGATGCTGCTGCTGATGACGTTGCTGATGATGATGGTGTTGGTGATGGTGATGGCGGTGATGAGTAAGAAGAACATGATGATGTTGCTGATGATGGTGACGATGCTGATAATGATGATGATGATGATGATGATGATGATGATGATGATGATGATGATGACAACGATGATGATAATGACGATCGTGGTGGTGCCGATGACACTGATGATGACGACGATAACGATGGTGATGATGAGGATGATGAGGAGGACGCTTATAATGATGATACTGCTGATTAGGGCGACGACGACGACAACGACAACGACTATGATTATGATGCTGATGATGATGGTGATGATGACGACGATGACGACGATGCCGATGGTGATGATGATGATGATGATGCGGATGATGATGATGATGATGATGATGATGATGATGATGATGATGATGATGATGATGACAATGATGATGGTACTGACGATGATGATGCTGATGATGATGATGTTGATGATGATGATGATGATACTGATGATGATGCAGATGATACTCGTATTGTTGATGATGGTGATGATGCTGATGATGATGATGCTGATGATGATGATGATGATGATGATGATGATGATGATGATGGTGATGGAGGTTGCTGGCCCCGCTGGGACGGGCGGCGTGCGGCGCGTCGCGGGGGGGCCCCGACGCCCCCGCGCACCTCCAGGTCGCGGACGCGTGCGGCCAGACGGCGGTTCTCCTGTGGCGGGGAGGAGGAGGAAGTGACGGAGGGTGGGGGGGAGGACAAGACAAACAGGAATCGACGGGAGCCGAGTGCCAGCGGTGACAGACAGCAGCGACAGCCCTCTCGGATGCGCGTAAGCCGCCTACCAACGGCTACCGTTAAGTCGGGCCTGTCCCCCTACAGGGGGATTTGCGACGAACAATGAAAAATAGTCAAACAAATGCTCCAACATGGCCAGAAAATACTCAAAAAATGGTCCCCGTACGATTTTTGGATTATTTCTGAATATTCCCCCTGTATAGGGACGTGCCTGACGTAATGACAGACAGCAGCGACAGCCGCGAAAAATTAAAATTACCCCAGTGCGACCCTACCTAGAAGTTGGAGCCCCTAGGAAAGCAGCATTCGTTGCTATGCCATGCTATGCCATGCCATGCTATGCTGCGCTATGCTATGCTATGCTATGCTATGATATGCTGCGATATGCTATGCTATGCTATGCTAAGCTATGATACGTCATGCTGCGCTGTGCTATGCTAGGCTATGCTATGATATGCTATGCTAAGCTGCGTTATGCTATGATATACTATTATATAGGTTGCTATGCTGCGCTATGCTAAGCTAAGCTAAGCTAACACTCTAGGCAGAGCCTAGGTAGGGAATTACACCCATGCTAATGCTGTGCTCTGCTATGCTAAAGCTCAGCTGAGCTAAGATGAAACGAAACTAAGCTAAGATGAAATAAACTAAGCTAAGATGAGATAAGCAACGCTAAGCTAAGGGGCCATCACCGGGGGAACCGCGGGGCGGATACTGGGGGAACCGCCCGGGGCGGTTTCCACTGCCCGGTCCTTTAAGCACACACGGTAAGAACCCTTTTAGGCAGAGCCTAGGTAGGGAAATACTAAACAATTATCCCAGTGCGACCCTACCTGGGAGTTGGAACCCCTAGGAAAGCAGCATTAGTAGTAACAGTAACGCTAAGCTAAAGCTAAGCTAAAGCTAAGCTAAAGCTAAGCTAAAGCTAAGCTACAGCTAAGCTAAAGTTAAGCTAAAGCTGAGCTAAAGCTGAGCTAAAGCTAAGCTAAAGCTAAGCTACAGCTAAGCTAAAGCTAAGCTAAAGCTAAGCTAAAGCTGAGCTAAAGCTAAGCTCTAAGCTACAGCTAAGCTAAGGCTAAGCTACAGCTAAGCTAAAGCTAAGCTAAACGCTAAGCGAAAAGCTAAGCGAAACGCTAAGCTAAAGCTAAGCTACAGCTAAGCTAAAGCTAAGCTAAAGCTAAGCTAAAGCTAAAGCTAAAACTAAAGCTAAAGCTCCCAGGGGACTGGGGGGAACCGCTCCCAGGGGACTGGGGGAACCGCAAGGGGCGCTTTCCACTGCCCGGCCCCTTTAAGCTAAGAGAGTAAGAACCCTTCTAGGCAGAGCCTAGGTAGGGAAATACTCCCAAAATGCTCAAAAATAGTAAAACAAATCGTCCCCTGCCTATTTTTTACTATTTTCGAATATTCCTCCTGTAATTAGAGGGACAGGCCCGACTTTAGGCTACCGGTGGAAGGACGGCCCTCTCTGACCGACAGCGGGGCCGAACACCAACCTGCCCACGAGCGGCAACGTGCTGCTGGAAGGATCGAGGGAGGAGGAGGAGGAGGTGGTGGAGGAGGAGGAGCAGGAGGAGCAGGAGGAGGAGGAGGGTGACGAGGAGGAGACGTTCTCCTGGGCCGAGGGGGGGGGGGTGGCGGGGGCGCTGAAATGGGACAGTCAGGTCGCATAACAAGGATGCGCGGTAAAAATGCATGGGCCTTGGAGGCCATGTTGGCGTTTTCGAGCGGGGTTGGCCAGCGAAAGTCGCCAAGGATGGGCCGAAGAGGCAAGGATGCAAGGGCAGCCTGGAAAAATGCACTCATCCTTACTGCGCGACTCGACTGCAGCCCGGTTTCCTGGTGCCCCCTCCCGAGAGGGCACGGTGATCAGAAAGCGGGATGGAGGAAGGAGGGGGGAGGCATGGCGAGGGAGGAGGGAGGAAGGCATGGCGAGGGAGGAGGGAAGGAGGCAGGGGGAGGGACCAAACCGACGTCGCCAGGCAAGGCAATCCACCAACTTCTGCGGGAGCCTCTTCGTCGAGGCTCAGGCACCTCGGGGGGCCGAGGGGCCTCTACAGGAACCCTGAGGCGCAGCAGAATATTGCAAGACACGGGTTGACGAAGACACGGAGGAGGATATAGAGAAGGATGAGGAGGGGGAGGAGGGGGAGGAGAGGACGGGGAGGAGGAGGATGGGGGGAGGGGAGGGGAGAGGAGGAGGAGGAGGAGGAGGAGGAGGAGGAGGAGGAGGAGGAGAGGAGGAGAAGGAGGAAGAGGGTGAAGGAGGGTAGAGATGGAGGAGGAGGAGGAGAAAGATGAGGAAGGTAGAGGAGGGGGGGGAGGGTAGAAGAGGATGATAGACGAGAGGAGGAGGGGGGGAGGATAGAGGAAGATGAGGGTAGAGGAGGAGGAGTAGGAAGAGGAGGAGGAAGAGGAGGAGGGAGGGCAGGGGGGAGGGGGGGGAGGAGGCGGAGGGTCCTGCTCCACCAGATCGGCCTGGGCCGTGCGCGCGGAGTTCTGCTGCGCCCGCCTCGGGCCGGCGCCCCCGCCGCCGCCCCCGCCGCGCGGGGGAGGCCCCGAGACCTCTGCCCTGTGGGACCTCCTGTCGACGATCCTCGGCCTCGCGTTGCTGCTCGCCGCCGGCGCCGTTGCCGCCGTCGCCGTCGCCGTCGCCGTCAGGGCCGTCGCCGCCGCCGCCGCCGCCGTCGCCGCTGTCGGCGCGGCTGCGGGCGCAGGGGAGCCGTGCGCTCCGCTCGCTGCCGCCGCCGCCGTCGGGGACGCCGCCCTGCCTTTGCCGTCGCCGCCGCCGTCATCGCCGCCGTCGCCGCCGCCGTCACTGTGGCCGTGGCCGTCGCAGGCGTCACCGCCGCCGTCGCCGAGGCCGCCGTCGTTGTCCTCAGGACGTGTTAGCGCCATTGTGTGCTCGTCCACCGAAGCACCGAAGCCCTTCAACACGGCGCAGGGGGTGTCACGGGGGGAAGCACAGGCTGCGTGCTGTCGGTGGAGCGGAGCCAGGCAACACACACACACACACACCCACCCACCCACCCACACACACACACACACACACACACACACTGGGCTACCACACGTCCTGAGGATCATGGGCCCCGGGAGCCCCCTCGAGCCTTCAGCGCAGCGGGCAGCGGGCACCCCTCCCGCCCGTCGGGCGCACGCTGGCATGGAGTGAGAAGGATCCGCCGATCTGGCGCGTTGGCGCCAGACCCATGCATCTAGATCCATGGGCCGGGGAAGCTTGCCCTGGAGCTCGAGGCCATAGGGTCGCCCGAGTGGGCGACGGAGCGCGCAGGCTCTGCGGGAGCGGGGCCCGTCGCGAGTCCCCGCACCTGGGCCGCGGCCGCGCTCCCTCGAGCTCGAGCGCCCGCCCGAGCGCAGTGGCAGCCTCGCGCGGCGGCGCGGCGGGGCAGAACAACTCTGGGGCCCGCCGCCCGCGTGAGGCTTGAGGCACGAGGCGACTGGTCACCTCTCCGCCCGCCCTCTGGGACCCCTATGCCGCCCCCCCCAGACCCCCTCGGGCACTGAAAAAATCGTGACGGGAGGTTCTTCCACATCTTCGGCCCCTGGAGGCCCTCACCGGCCCTCGGGAGGCCCTTAAGAAACGACTCGGGATGAAACACCGGCCCTGGTGAAGGGGTCGAGACCTCTGAGGGTCGGCGCCATGAAAAAAGCATGACGTCGGGGGTCTGGGCCCCTCCACGCCAAGCTCCTGCCACGGGCGGCGCGGGCTCTGGCCTCTGGCCCCCCCCCGATGAGGAGGAGGAGGAGGAGGAGGAGGAGGAGGAGGAGGAGGAGGAAGAGGAGGAGGAGGGCGGGTGGAGGAGGAGGAGGAGGAGGAGGAGGAGGAGGAAGAGGAGGAGGAGGAAGAGGAGGAGGACCCCCTCCCCTGGACGATCACCGCCGCTGGAGGGGCCAGAGATGATGCCGGCGGCTCTTCGGCCCCGAACGCCCTCGCCGGCGCAGTCGCCGCGCGGAGACGTCACGGCCCGACGTGTGCCGTGCTCCCTCGCGCGGGTGGAAATGGAGAGGGACAGTGACAGGGAGGAGGAGGGAGGGGGGAGGGGAGGAGGAGCACAACAGAACCTAGCACAGCGAACGTAACATGAGTTCGTCCTTGGATCCATCGAGGGGGGGATGCGGGGGAGAAGGGAGGGAGGAGACAGCAGCTCGGAAGACGAGGGAATACGGGGGGACGGAGGAGGAGCGTCGATGAGGATAGTGGAGGGAGAAGGGGGGGGATGAGGAGGAGGGAGGGAAGGAGTACGAGGAGGAGTACGAGGAGGAGGAGGAGGAGGAGGAGGAGGGGAGGAGGAGGGAGGAGGAGGGGAGAGGACGAGGACGAGGAGGAGAAAGAGAGAGGAGAGAGGAGGAGGAAGAGGAGGATGATGAGCAGGAGGAGGAGGAGGAGGAGGAGGAGGAGGAGGAGGAGGAGGAGGAGGAGGAGGAGGCGGAGGAGGGCGGGTGGAGGAGAAGGCGGAGGGAGGCGGAGGCGGAGGAGTAGGAGGAAGAGAAGGAGGAAGAGAAGGAGGAGGAGGAGGAGGATGAGGATGAGAAGGACGGTGGAGGCACAGGAGGCACCCTCCTTCCGCGCGGGGCCAGCCTCAGCTCCTCCTCCAGCTGCAGGGCGCGGCGCTGGTCCTCGTCGGTGCGCCTCCACCGCGGGGCCGCGGCCGCCCAGCCTCGGGCGAACCGCCCCCGCCGCCTCCTCAGACAAGGAGAAGGAGGAGGAGGAGGAGGAGGAGGAGGAATTCGCTGGAATTCGCTGGTAACCACAACGTGGTGGGAGGAGGAGGAGGAGGAGGAGGAGGAGGAGGAGGAGGAGGAGGAGGAGGAGGAGGAGGAGGAGGAGGAGAGGAGGAGGAGGAGGAGGAGGAGGAGGAGGAGGAGGAGGAGGAGGAGGAGGAGGGACGAGGAGGAGAGGGAGGACGACGACGATGAGGAGGCGGGAGGATGAGGAGGAGGAGGAGGAGGAGGAGGAGGAGGAGGACCAGTGCAGACCCAAGACGCAGCAACGATGTTGCAATACAACCTCCCTCCACGTTCCCTCGTCACATGTCCCTGCCAGGATATACTTTCCTTGCGGGAAGTGGCCCATTAGATAGCAACCTCCTGATGACCCTGAATCGTGCTGAAACACCGTTCCAAGATCTTTACGGCGCGGATCAACGTGACGGTTGCGGCCTGACAATCCGGAGTCGTGCAAGAACGCGATGTCTGGAATTTCAACGCAATAAAGCAACGTGGCTGTTGCGTCCTGATAACCCCACACTGTGCCAGAGCACCGTTTCTGGGACTTCGACTGCACGAGCCCTTGAAACGGTTGCAGACTTTTGAAACGAATGCGCGCAACGCTAAAGCGAGAATCACATGTTGAAAACTGCCCGCCCTCCATCCGTGAAACTGTTGCAAATTCTACTACGCATCTACGCGGCGCTAAAACGAGAACCACATTCTGAAAACTCCCCGCCCTCCATCCGTGAAGCTGTTGCGAACTTAAAAAACGAATGTGCGCGGCGCTATAGCGAGAACCACATGTTAAAACCAACCCGCCCTCCATCCGTTAAACGGTTGCAAACTTCAAGATGATACATGGCAAAGAGATCTCAGGCGAAACGCCCGGCCCACCCTACTAACACGTCAGGGGGTGCGAGAGGGTGGGGTTACAGCCGGGCCTAAGACAGACACACATTCTTCAAGAACATGAGACCCTGCACCGGCCAAACTGAAGTACATTCGAGGGGTACCAAGACATCCAACAAACACGAAGACCACCAGGGTACCCTCCCAAACCCGACCTCGATCATATAACTCGGTCCGACTGTACTCATAAGGACCTGTACTCATATCATATATATATACGTATATCTTCACAATGTCCTTCGGCAAGGGGCTGTCGATCCACATCTTCAGCTACCTCGTTGGCTTGGTTCCTCCGGGATTGGCCATAGTCATCGTTAATTCTTTCATTATGGTGGAGGATAACCACGCTCGCTATAAAAGGACAAAAAGGTACCCAAACCCGTCGGGGAAAAAAACGGTCATCGGCGAAATACTGGAGACCGTTGGGCAGCCCACGGGAACGTGATTCCGCCGGCAATCAGTAGTTGGACGACAACGGGCCACACCCATAAAATAAGCAAGGGATGGAGGACGAGGAGGAAATCACTGGAATTCGCCTGGTAACCGCAATGTGGGAGGAGTAGGAGGAAGAGGAGGAAGGATGAGGAGGAGGAGGACGAGGAGGTGGGAGGAGGAGAAGAGGGATCAGCGTAAACCCAAGACTCGTCAACGATGATGTTGGAATGCAGCCTCATTCCAAGCTCCCTCTCCGTAGGCACCTACAAATATTCATACCCAATGAGGGAAATGCCCCGATGGGAGACAACCCTTTGAAGATCCGGAAGCGTGCCCAAACACCATTAACGGAACTCCAACGCCACGAATCAACCTGATTGTTGAGTCTTGACAATCCTGAATCGTGCCAGAACACCACTCCTGAGACTCCAACACCGCGAATCAGAAGAACTGTTGCGCCCTGACTAATATGAACCGCTCCAAAACACCATTTCCTGTGCGCTGACCATGGGACTCCGTGAGACCCTTGCCAATGCTTAAGACGAGTGTGCGCGGCACTATTGCGAGAGCCACATGTTGAAAAACAATGCCCTCATTCCTCGATGCCCTTGCAATTTTGTAAACGTATGTGCGCAGCGCTGAATCACCTTTCGAAACCGGCCAACCCTCAATCCGTGCAACGCCCACATCTGTTTTAACGAATGTGCGCGGCGCTTGTGGGAGAATCGCATTTTGAAAACCACCCACCCTCAATCCGCGAAGCCCTTGCAATTGTTTTAAAAGAATGTGCGCTGCGCTGGGACGAGAACTACATGTTGAAAACCATCCGCCCTCAATCACTGAAACTCTTGTAAATGCTTAAGACTACTGTGCGGGACGCTAAGGCGAGAGCCACATTTTGAAAACCGCCCGCCCTCCCTCTGTGAAGCTGCTCTGCAGGCCGCCCGGGTCGCCTCAGCACCTCCACAGTCCTGCGGATGAAGTCGAGGTGGACGGGGAAAGCGAGGAGCAGGAGAAGGCGAGGTTCACGAGTAGCCCTGCTGACACATCAAATTCCTCGGTGGAGCAAAACCTCGGGTGGTAAAGCCCTCAAGTGCAGAGGTGCCCCTGCACCCTTGGAAGACAAGGCGAACAATCCTCTTCGATTGTCCGTCTACCCCAGACCCCCTGAAAATCGAACCCCGGATGTCTCATGGGGTGCATGCAAGCCTGGCGTGTCGAAATGAATCCATCAGTGGTGAGGAAGGCGCCCCCGGAGGTTCAACTGGGGCAAATATCGAAACACCTGCCTCCCAATACCTCGAGCGAACCTCTCGACCCTTCCCTGGGCACTGGCTATTCCTCCCGGGTCGTGCTTTCGACGGCCCTGGGCACTGGGAAATTATTCACTGCGTGGAGCTCCCCATATGTGCATCTACTCGCATGGACCTGTCCGCCGTGAATGTCTAGGCGCAAGAGCTTTCGAATATTAACGGGCTTCAGTTGTGACGGTCTGGACATCAATCTAACTGCGAATGAATTGGAGTGTGAATGAGCCTCAGTAGTACGAGCGCGTCTCTGTGCATGAGCCTGGGGCGTCCTGGGGCTTCCTGAAACCCACTGGGGCTTCCTGGGGTCTCCAGGAGCCTCTTGGGACCTCCTGGGACCTCCTAGGAAGGTTTCGTGCCCCAGGAGAGGCGCAATCTATAGCAACAGACGTACATAAAACATTGCGGCTTAGAGCCATTTTTTTCACACACCAGGCAGCTCGTGCGACACGAGCCGATCCTGCCGCCAAAATGGCGAGAACCGCAAACTGCGGCCAGGAGGCTCCGCAAACAGCGGCCTCCAGGTTGCAGCGCGCTCGCCACGCTGCGTGGGTGTGCGCCGTCAGGTGAGGCGGCCACGCGAGCCACCATCCACCCCGTGCCGAGCCTGAAAAGGCCCAGACCACCGAAGGCATTTCCCAACTCACTCACTCAGGCGCTTGCCCGTCTTCGGGTCCAAGCCTGCCCTGATGTTGGCGATCTTCAGGTTGCGCAGGCGCAGCGCGTTGCCTGAGGCCACGACGCACGTCTTGCCGAGCGTCCTGTGCTTGCCGTTGATCTCCTTCGCGTAGGCCTTGCACCGTGTGCAGATCCTGAAGCCGTTGATGCTGAGCAGCGCGTGGCCTGCTCCTTCAGCCTCCTGAGTGCCTGATCCCCCAGGCTCGTCCACCTGCATGGCGTCCTGGGCGACCTCGGGGCCTGCACTCACCTGGCCGTCGGCGGGGTCCGCCGCCGCCACGCCCTGAGCCTCGCGCGCAGCACGGGCGGCGGCCACCGCACGCATGAGGGCAGCCCCAGGCGAAGGGTCCTGGCCGCTGCTGATGCTGCTGCTGCCACCGCCTGCCGCCGCCGCCACGGGACGTTGCAACGCCCGCGTGCCCGCAGCTGGTGGCTCGCGAGCGGCGCCGACAGGGCTCGGCGCAGCCTGCTGGAGCTCGGGCTCGGGGACCGCCGCGAGCTCGTCGTCTTGTGCACTCTGAGCCTCCTGCTCGAGCCTGTGAGCCGCCGCCAGCGCCACCGCCACAGCACCTGCAGAGGCCAACGCCGACGCAGCAGGCTTACGCCTCGTGCCGCTTGCCACGGGCGCAAACGGGTTGGCCACACACGGGTCCTTGAGCAGCCGCTTGATGCTGAGGTCAGGGCAATCTATAGGAACACGCGTAAAACACCAAGGACTCGTGCCCCAGGAGAGGCCCAATACATAGGAACATGAGTAAAACATCTAGGATTGTGTACACAGGAGAGGGACCATCTATGGAAACATACGTAGAACATCAAAGAATCGTGCTCCAGGTGAGGCCCAATCGATAGGAGCATACGTAAAACACATGGGATTGGAGCCACTCCTGTTGCCTTCTGAGGCCTCCTGCTCCTGGGGCCTCTCGGGGCCTCCTGTTGCCGTCCGAGGCCTCCTGGCGCTTCCTGTTGCCTCCTGGGGCCTCCTGTGGTTTCCTGAGGCCTTCTGGAGCTTCCTGGGGCCTCCTGGAGCCTCTTGGGACATCCTGTGGCCTCTTGAGTGTTTCTGTGGCCTCCTGATGCCTCCTGGGACCTCATGTGGTCTCCTGGGGCCTCCTGGAGCCTGTTGGAGCCTCCTGTGGCATCCTGAGAAGAATCTGCGCCCACGAACCTGGCCACCAAAACAAGCAAACCGATCGAGACATCCTCAAAATCTGGCCCACCTGGGGGTTGAAAATGAGCGCCTCGCTCGAGACATCCTCCAAATCTGCTCCGAAAACGAAGGATGTTGGGCCCAGAAACAAGCAAACCGCCTGAGACATCCCCACAAAATGGCCGCGAACGAGCCCGTGCAAACACCCCTGGCGGTTCCCCTTAGGGGTGCTGAAACCAGCGCCCCGCCTGAGACATCCTCACAATCTGCTCTCCAAGCGAAGGATGTTGAGCCCAGAAACAAGCAAACCGCATGAGACGTCCCCACAAAATGGCAGCGAACGAGCCCATGCAAACACCCCTGGCGGCCCCCCTTAGGGGTGCTGAAACCAGCGCCCCGCCCGAGACATCCTCACAATCTGCTCTCCAAGCGAAGGATGTTGA